GGCATACACACAGTCAGAAAAAAAAATCAAAAAGTTTTAAAAATATGCAAAAATTGTCAGTAAATAAATAAGTCCATTTTAAAAAACGTAAACTATCTTGCTGGTGGAAGGAAAGAATGACTTCTCATACTGGTTGAATTGTAAATTAACATTAAATGTCTCTTTAGCTGAAATGTACTTTATATTACTGCATATTTAACTGTATTCAATAAAACAGAATRATCCTAATTCAGGGTTTCTGCAACTTTCAGTCAATCTTTATGACTTTTTAAAGACATTTATGACAAATTTTTTTATTGTAAAATATTCTTCAAAGTAACTAATTTTATTGTCTTTCACTCAAATTCAAATTAAATCCAAACAAATCCAAAAAAAATAAAATAAACAACAACAAACCACTTTCAGGAACAAAACAACAAGATTCTTTCACAAGTCAAAAAATAAATAAATTTCTTCTCAGAGGCCTGCTGCATGATGGGAGTTGTAGTTTTGCTCCTGAGTGAAAACTGAACTCCTCTGACAGAACTACAGACACAGAACAAACTAACGTTTCAGAAGCAATGAAGGAACAAACAAACACATTTAAGATGAAACCAGATGTATCGTAAGGCTTAAAACAGAACATCGAAACATTAAAACGTTTGAAGACCCAGCAGAAACCAGGATGTTTGTCAGGTGAACCTGCAGCTGCTGCCTCACCTGTGCTCRCCTCCCCCTTCATGGCCTTCATGAGGTCGTTGGCTCGCTCCTGGAAGTGAAGCGACTCCAGCAGGTAGAGCACGTAGTCGTCAAACATGAGGTGGATCAAGTGGAAGGACCCTGCAGACACACACAGATTACTTCACTGCATTAAAAAAACTGAACTAAAACCTAAATAATCTGTCCAGCGGCTGGTGAGATGTTTTGCTAACAGATGACCACACATATGAACAATTACATAATTGTCTGCCGTTCATTATAGCAGACAACAACAACAAAAAATGAGGGACGTCTAAGCGTGTGATGACATCACGTCCTGCGTACATGAGGGTCATTAAAAGGGTTTGTTTCCGTGCACCAACTCACAGACAGAAATAAGTCCGGTGACCCCCAGGGGGGTCGCAGCAAAGCTGAGGCAAGCAGGGAAGCGTCCTCACAACTGTGTCATTGTGCTGCTCGCCCTGTTCGCCGTGCGCATCATAAAAACACTTGCTGGCCATTCAGAGGAGCGGGGTGCAATACTGACCGCTCATAAAATGAGGAAAGAAAAAAAAAACACAAAACAAGACAGAGAAACACGTCGGGAGAAGAGGAGGGGCCAGCTTTGTTGTTTAGCTGTTTGTGCTTTATGAAAACACTGCTACCAGCTGTGGCTTTCAGATTCAAAATCAGGCCAGAGGACAAGAGGAGAAAGAGAATCTATTTTCTTCTATTTTAGATTTTTACTGCTCTCTACACTCGCTGCAAACTTTGTTGCAGCCACGGCCATTTTACTTTCTCCTCCAACTGCAGCCTGGGGAGGAATTTAAAACGTGAATTCGGTCAAAATAACTTGTTTTAGAGATGATATGGGACAGAAACTTCAAAAGTAACTGTAAYCTTCAAAGGCACAACACTTGCTGCTGTTCATCTAAAGTGAGCTGATTATAGTTTAAATGTCTGAAAGTTAACAGATGGTTTTATTATCTTATGTTATCAGGTGCGATTAAAGACCAAAAGAAGAAGACGAAGGGCGGCTGTGGCAGAGTGGTTATGGTCCGTGGGCAAGACACTTCACCCTCCATGCCTGCCGGTGGTGTTCAGAGGGTCCGGTGGTGCCGGTGTGTCGTTAGTCATGTTTCCATCCAATTTTAATTCGAAATTTGAGCAAATTTTAACATTTCGCAAAAAAGGAAACAATGAAATGCGAATCAGACATATTTCCATCAACTGGCTTAAAGCGAATCAGTTACGTCAGACGCATGCGTGTTGTAAACAGGAAGTAAAAGTCTCATCTCAGGACGATGGAGAGAAGCTATCAGGAATGTGTTGCTACTATCGTGAAACTTGTACTTATTCTGTCATTTCAACTAGTTCTGGTGATGTTACTGCTGTCTGGAGACGTAGAGAAAGAAATACGTCTTCATGTTACAGGAATAACTGAGAAGACGCCGACAGCGGGGGGAGGGTCCTGCTGCAGTCGCTCTGGTACCAGGACCGTTAGCGGACAGACACTCGGAACAGCTGATCAACCATGAATGTTCCCTACGTCAGAACTGATTTGACAAATGTGTTTCCATCTCTCCTTTTTTTGCGCATTAACTCTTTTTCGAAAAACCCATAAACCACCTCAAGCAAGCGTATCAACTTTGATGCGAATTAGAGGAAGTTTTTTCGAACCATGTCGTTCCCATTCACCTTTTCTGATGCGATACTTCAAAATGTGCATTAAAAACCTTGATGGAAACACGGCTAGTATGTGAATGTGTGTGTGACTGAAGTGTATAACACTAGGGACTGGCTAAAGCACGATTATAAGTTCAGTCCATTTACCATTAACCAAGAATAACAACATTTATGACTCACCGAAGCTGGGCGCGCTGTGGAGGGTCATATCCCGGATGACTCTGGTACCAAAACACGACCACATCAGCAGAAACTGTTGGGCCACCTTCTTCAGTGACCCGGGCCTCTTCCCCGCCACCTAGAGAGAACATTTCCATGAGAAAAGGAGGCAGGAGGGAGAGGGGGGGACACCAGGCTAGAATTAACCCCTGGGTCCATATTGGAGCTTAACCCTCAGGAACGAAAAACATGTCAACAAGTCAACTATTTAATTTGCCCCCGGGGACACGCCTTCCTATTGAACTATTGTCCGGGCGGTGCAAGGCGTCGCCAGGGCGACCAAATTTTACAAGCCCATATCTGGCACATAATGGACGCAAATGGGAAGCTTGAAGACATCATTAACTGTGCGTGTGTGTGTGTTGGGGGGGGGGTGCTGTGAGGACGCGCAGAGGAGCAACACTCATATTAACACCATCATCTCCTCCGCCACAGCTCCAAACCAAACAGGTTTGTGCCGAGTCGTGTTTGGAYGCAGCTCACCTTGACCACGCAGCGGTCCACCATGGTGTCCAGCCACTCGATGTACGCTTCGATGGGAGACTGCTCCTCCAGGAGGCGGTCGAACTCCTGATACACTGCGGCGGGAGACGGAACATCTTTTAAAGCAGTGGTTCCCAAACTTTTCAGCTTCTGACCCACAAAATACCAGCAGCAGAGACCTGTGCTCCCAGCTGTTGTCGGTTGATAAACATTGTTTTCACGCTGAATAAACAAGAGCATATAACATTATTTATTACAGTGGTTCGCAAAGTTGGGGCCGGGACCCACAGTGGGGTCCTGAAAATATTTTCTTTGCATTAATTACACTAAAAAAATGACAACTAAGACATTTTTTTGCCTTTGTTGTTCCAAAAAACAGTAGTGTACTTAAAATAGACAAAAATTGTGTAATAAATAATTTATTACATTKTTTCTGTCCATTTTAAGTACACTAATCTTATTATTTAGTAAAAACAAAGACAAAAAATGTTCCTAGTTGTCATTTTTTGTGTAACTAATGAAAAAAATATTTTCAGGACCCCACCTTGATGTTTCAGGACCCCAACTTTGGGAACCACCGTTTTAAAGGGGCAATATTATGTGTTTCTCAGGCATATATTTAAATACTATACCATAATAAAGTATCTATGTCACCTTTAGTTGTTATAAAAATACCTTTTTTAAGTTTAATTAGAAAATAAACTTATCTTCTCATCACTTTCTCTTCTAAACACCCTGAAATTGGCCTCTGTGTCTTTAAGAACCACCTTCCGCTTCTGTCCCGCCCATTTCAGCGTGGGGGTGGGGGGCGTGCGCTATGATGTAGTTTACTTGGCATCTGAAAATACATTTCCTCAAAGGTATTTTGAATCACTGAGTGAGAAGGAGCTCAGCAGGCAGTTTAAGTTTCACTTTCAGTTTCACTCTTTGCTTTGTTACTGCCGAGAGCCTGCAGGAGTCATGGGCGGGGTGTGTGGGGAGGGGGTGTGCTCTGCCATGAGGAAGCTCGGCTTGGAGACACGTCCCAGGGGCGTTTCTGGTCCCAAAAAGCGTTTCTGGTCCCCACCTGTCGTTTTGCTCCTCAGCATGGCTTCCTAAAAACGCTGCAGGATTTCTCAAACATGCATGAATGAGTCAAAACAAGGCTTTGGGCATGTTTTTTTATGAGAGTATAACATTATAACATGATATAAAACTCAAAAAAGTGGATTTTATATGATATTGCCCCTTTAAACAATCTGGACTGCGAGTGCAAAAGCGTTCACACGTCAGTGACTCCTGCTCCCGTCCTGAGCTGTAGCGGCTCCTCCCGGCTGTCTGAGAGGAGGCTGAACTCGTTTAACCTTTGGCTCCTCGTCGTCAAAGCTCCGACTCCGCCGGTCGTGGGAATGATTGTTCCCGAGTGTGTTGTTTGTGTGCGTTTAAGTGGACAGAGTTGTAGCGCCGTACTTACAGTGCATAATGAGCTGCCTGTGCTCCTCCTGCGAGTCCTCCATGGTGTAAAGTGTCTGCTTGGTGATGCTGTTCAGGTCCACGTTCCTCCAGTCCTCCAGCATCTGAAAGGTGATATCGGCGCTGTTGATCACAGTCCGAGACGCCTGAGGACAGGCAAATCAAACAATGTGGAACAGTCAAACATCTGCTGTAACTTTCATTTTTCATATAAACTCTGTTAAAATGCTTCAGATGAAAAGCTGCACCTGACATAGATGGTTTAAAGATGTTTGCCGCTTTAGAATCTGAGAGAATCTCCTCGACACTGAAAACAACAACAAAAAAACACGTGTTTGAGTGTACTTTAATATATGAACATTTACTATTTGTTTATTTTTGCACACTTACATTCAAATTTGATATTCCTCAGGTTTTCTGGGAGGTCGTGAAGTGCTATTTTAAGCCACTCATCGAGCTGTTTGGCAAATTTTCGGATAACCTGAGTCAAACTGCAGGCAAACGACAACAGAGAGGACTTCAAAACGATGAAACATCTTCATCTAAAATGTTCATCTGATGAGTAGAACTTCATATTACTGAACAGAAAACACTCATGGTGTTCTTACAGACCAATCACAACCAATAATTCCTCAGATTTAAAGTTCGTAATCAGCTAAAGTTTTTAAATTGAGCAAAAATAACATCCAGAACAAACTTTTTACTCTTTTTTTAATAGGTTTTGCATTCTTCTGACCTAATTTTACAACATTACCAGTCAGTGTTTAAATGGCATACAATATTCATTTTGTTTGTTATTATTGAACTTCATGTTTTGAACATCAAGCTAATAATAACTAWGACTAATATGAGCTAATAATTAGCTAAAGTAAAACGATGTGGTCATAGTGCTTCCTATAGATGGAGTTACTTTATTCATGTAATGGAACAGAGCGGGGTTTTTATCCATCCTCTTTACTCGCTTTATCCTTTCWGGGTCACTGGTGCCCATATCCAGCAGTCACTGTGTGAGGGACAGGATACAGCCTGGACAGGTCCATCACAGGGACACACAGAGACACACAACTGTCTCTCTCACACCTAAAGGCATTTCAGTTACCAATTAGCCTATCAGTTAAGTTTTTGGCTTGTGGGAGGAAACCAGAGTGCCTGGAGATAACTGATGCATGCGCGAAGAGAACATGCAAACTCTACCCAGATAGGTCCCCGGCCGGGATTCGATCCGGCAACCTTCTTGCCAAGAGGTAATAGCTCTACCAACTGAGCCATCGTGCCGCCCCAGAGCAGAGTTTTAATCACTAAAAAATATTTAATAGCCAAACTATTAAAAAAAGTGTCCACAAAAACTAAAACTTAGATTTGATTATAAACCTGAACCATGTTTCTATTGGCAAACGATCAGAGGAACATCACAATAATGAAAATTAAAACCATGTTTAAAAAACAATGTGATAAATATCCATGAGAGAAAATGGAAAATTCAAGGATAAACTAGCGACTCTCACATGTCATCTCCTCACCCTGCCTGGTAAAAAAGGTTTTCTTTCCTCAGTWAAGTGAAAAATATYGACAAAAAGTAAGYAAATTTGTGTTTGGTAGATTATTTCTTTGTCGTAACAATGCTTATCGGTAATAAATCTAATACCATTGTAAAGCCTGTGAATTTTCTTTTTAAATGGAGCCACATTTGTAAGGAACGTGCATTTAAGAGATGAGCAGTAGAGCTGAGGATTGGGTTGTGCACATGAAAAATTTCCCAAATCTCTGCCAATCAGCTTATTTTGCTGTTGCTACCGACACTAGTTTTGAGGTCCTGGTACCCCCAGGTGCTGCCAATCAGGTGCCCAGTATAAGATGTATTGCCGAAAATCATTGTTACAACAAAGAAATAATCTACTAAACACAAATTACGTTACTTTAAGTGTATATTATTTTTCATCACTGACCAATAAGTGACTTTCAGCTAAAAAGATTCAGTCTAACAGCAGCTGCAACTTTTGGATTTAAACTTTAATCAGAAATTCATTTAACATAAACATTATTAGGCAGTGTCTATGATGTTTAATTGTATTTTCCCTGCATTGACTGGATAGTTAATATCTGAAACAACAGCAGTCAACAGAAGACTGACTGTAAGCTGAGCACGAGCATTTAAAGCTTATGAATAATGCAAACACAACCTTAGATGCTGCTTTAATTACCACATATAAACAAAGCAGATGCATGCTGTGTAGTCTGAGCAGTGAAAAAAAGAAAAACAAACTATTTAAATATGCAAATTTAATGCCACCAGAGAGACTACAGACCTGTCAGGCAGTGCTTGCAGGACGGTGGGCATCAGGACCCCGGAGATGGCCTTGTAGAGGATGGAGTCACAAACTCCCACGATGTTCACCACCGTGGGGGAGCCGAGGACGGGCAGCATGTGGGGCGGCATGCCCTGCCAGAAGTGCAGCAGGAAGCTTTGGACCTGCAGACAGGATGTGATGTCAGCGTCACAGAGGAGGAAGAGGGGAGTTCTTTTAAAGCGACATATAACTTCCAACGGGAGAAACCTTGCCTCGTCAAAGTTGGCTCGGATCACCGTGTCCAGTATCCTCTGACAGTGCGTTCTGTACATCATGATGAAGGTCGACACCTGAAAGCAACAACTCAGTATTAATTTGTTTGTCTCACAAACTAAACAGCTTTTTTTTTTGTCTTTCAAAACACAAGTTGTAGCAAAAACAAGAAAATAAATCTGCCTGTGGACCAATAAATACACGTTACGGGTCCAGGGCGATATAAAACGAGCTTTAGAGATCAGCAAAACACAAACCATTTAAAATCATGGCCCCCCTTTTAAAAGCCGGACAGCTAGTACCAGTCTTTTGTCCACTGCTAGATCTTATTATCTCACCCCCCGAAGATTAAGAGTTAGTGAGGAGCCAGCACATAAATCCTCCAGGTCCTTCTCTCAGTGCAAACCCAAATAAAAGAGACCAAGGAGGGGAGCGGTGATGGTAGGGAGAGGTGAGGAAGAGGAGGGGTGGGGGTTGCTGTAAGTATGGACTTTTAAAGCCCCTGTTTACCCTTTCTTCTGGCAGGCTGGCAGGCAAATTTAGATCTTTGACATTTGGAAACTCTGGCAGGAGCGTCCCGAGTTTGGAGCGCGGTGAATACGCCACTGTCTGCTTCGTGACCTCCTTCTTCCCCGTCTCGTTCACCCACGCRGCCCCCTTTTTGGAGTACATCACGTCGTAGTACGGGGACGTCTCCTTCACTGCGATGCCGTAGTAATGGTACCTGAGGAGCAGAACAGCATCACTACAGCGCGTAGGCCAAGGAAAGAGTGACGATTTACACATGATTTATCCATTTTCATCCATTTCAAGGATGCAGAAGCTGGWWGCTGTCTCCAGAAGTGGGGGACACTCTGGACAGGTCAAGTCCATCACATGGACACATAGAGACAAATGAGACAACCATAAGGTTTTGACAATTTAGAGTTACCAGTTAATCTAACATGCATGTTTTTGGTCTGAGAACAGGAGGACCTGAAGAAAATCCACACATGCAGTTTCATCATTAGATCCAATTTTCTGTACTGTWCTGCCATGAAGGATTTTAACATAAGTCGCCGCTTCAACATGTTACACAAAGCTAAATATGAGAAGTGTATTGAAGTTGCAAGTACATAAACAACAGTAAATTTTTACCAGAACCCTGAAGGGGTCTGCACTCAGGGAGTCTTATGCTTGTTGCACTTCAGCTCGCTAAAGTAAATATTTATTTTTTGTTTGCTTCAAATGTTTTGTATTCATATTTATTAAACAAAAGTACAACTGTTACACATGCATTTGAGAATATGTTACACTATTGCACTGTATAAATACCTTTTAAAATGYTAGTTTTATTACATTTGGGTGAGTGTGCAGTGCTATGTGACCTTCTGGTAGAGTCAACCAAAAATAGTCTCCTTCCACCAACTGATGTAAAGGTTCTTAAAACAAACTAGTATGGAGGTATTTTTGTTTGTTTCATACCCAGTATAATTATACAGTGTTTGGTATTTTAAGTTTGTTTGCAAATTTAAAAAAATCCTAAACTTACTTGGACTGGCCTCTTGTCCCMAGTCTTCTGGTAGTTAGTGCTGGAAACTGTTGCCTTATGATCTGTACAATAAAGGAGATAAAAGATTGATTAATTTTTTTTTATTACTGATTGATTTATATAAATAACTGATAAAAGTAAAAATAAAAAGTGAAGTAAAATAGGTGACATAATGATTAAAGTTGTTATTTCTAAAAATAAAAGGGTTAAGTTTGCTTCATCCATTTATGACATTACTTTCTGCCACCTCACCCATCTTCACTCCCTCCTTCCTTGGTTCCTCTCTTTTTGTCCGGAGAGATTGGCTCCTGGGTCCGGCTGCCGGTACAGAAACTTTAGCAAACAGTGTAGCTCTCCATTGTGTGGGATGAAAAAAGAGGCCAAGCTGTGAAGTTTCTGTCAGGCCCCTGCTTGATAAATGAGCAGACAGGGAGGCAGTCCGGGCCCTCTCTCGTTGTTTTGTCCCGAATCAATGAAGCCTTCCTAAAGGACACCCCACACTGCTCCAGCCACTGATCTAACATTCCGAAACATCTCACCCTTCCAAATTTCCTTTAATTACACATTAATCCAGGCCCCTTCTCTTTTTCAATATCTTCCGACAGGAGCTGTGGAAGGGCGGGCGGTTTGGGAGGGGGGCTGAGCTTGGGGTTGGGGGCTGGGGCCGGAGTCCGGGGTCCGGGTGGATGGCTGGGGGTAGGAAGGCCGAGGAGCTTCTTGGGGTTGTGGGAACAGACGAGAGCCCGTGTCCTTTGGCTCTAGATTATGTGTTCACACTGAGCCGCAGCTTCAGCTTCGGCGGCAATAAACCAACCCAGGCGTGAAACGCTCCTGAATATTTTAATCTGCTTATCTTAAATCGTCAAAKGCAGATTATTTATAGCTTTTAATTGATTCCGCCARGAGAAAGCCAAGTTTGAAATCTCACCTTTCCAAAGCTGGCAGCGTTGACGGGCTGCGTGTCGTGTTTCTCACTGAAGTCCAGGTAATGCATGTAGAGGGCACTTCTGGGGATACACACACCTTCGGCTATTTCATAGTTTTCCTCTAACCTGCAGGACGACACACGAGGGGATCACGACCCTTATAAATAAACTCTAAACATATTAACATTTCAGGTAAAACACCTGCTGTAATTCTGACTAAATGGGTAAAATTCAATGATTTGAGAGTTTTCTTCATAAGAAGAAACAGAAAAACAAAAATACTGGAGGAACAGAAGAAATCATTTTGGATCAAACATCTAAAGATATTTTCTTGTTAATCACCAGTGGTTACAAGTACGTTTAATAGTAAATAGTTCAATTAATGTTTCAATTACAACCTGAAATGTTGAATATTTGTCAATCCTTTCATTTCACTGTCTGTTTTTTAGTCATTTGCGTTAAATAAGTAACGGTGTTTTATTTTAAAAATCACAATCACAACTTTACAATATGATTTACTCTGACATACTGACACGTCAGTATTATTTAGAGCCTTGTTAAAAATCTAAACAGCTTATTGTGATAAAAACAGGAGGTCATGGTGGTTAGTGTCTTTTTAGTCCGTTTTTAAGGACCTGATGCAAACACCTTAACTACAACAACCTGATAATGTGTTTGTAGAAGTCTGTTCTGGGCAATTTCTGCCTCAAAAAGGTTCAGAAAACAAAACAAAACAAAACAAAAAAAGACTTAATTTGATGCAACTTTTTTAGAATAAAACTGACAGAGAACTGAGCCCTGAGGTGCACCGGCAGCTTGAAACAAAGTCTAACAAGTTCAAAGTACTGTTTGTTTTTCATTTTTCATCACAGCAGTTTGTGTAAAACAAAATATTATTTCCTTTTGTTTTATTTAACAAGTCAATAAAGACGTATGAACCTCGTTCCCATTAAAGTTCAGCTGGGAGGTATTTTACTGAAGTCTGTTTTTTTTTATAAGACTTTTACTTTTGTTTGAGTTAGTTTACTTTCTAAAGACTGTTTTACCCCCAAATATTTATTTGACAGCTTTACTTATTGGTTACTTTACAAATTCAACACTTTTGTCATTGAAAAAAAAAAAACAACAAAAATGTAGTTTTATTATAATTTAAACTCTATAGCAGCTACTCATTTTTATTGTCAGTCTAATTGCAAGAGTAAACAAAACTGATTCTAACAATGATCACAACCAGCAGCAATAACTTCTACCTTYAATGTATTTTTCAGATGTTTATGTCACTTTTAATACACAACTTGAACTTAAAACAAAGTACAGGGGTGGTATTAATGTGTATACTTATCAAAGTAATAAATACTTCCTTAACAAGAGGCATATTGAAAAGATGTCAGAGAAAAAGCTAAGAAATTACTCTGTTGTTATTCATCATAATGAAACAATGATTTGTTTAAAAGTAGTTATTTTGTTTGTTTAAAATACACAAAACTAGAATTAAATATAAATATTCAGATTGTGGGGAAAGCAGAAAATTATTTTTCTGAAAATCAAACTAAAAAAGAATAATTACACAGATCTAAATTTAGAGCTCAAACTTTTTTTTAATTGTTTAAGTCTTTTAAAATTCAAATAAGTTTATGGTTATAATATAATGAAGTTTATTACTAATTTCCACAACAGATAATATGATTATATTTTTCTGACCAGTTTAAAAATAAAGATTTATTATATAAAAAAATTGAAATCAGCAATAAATAAGACATTCCAGACGAGATCTCTGACGTGACTGATGGGGGGAAAAAATCCACATTTTATTGTGTTTAATGAGTAACAGTTTGACKCCGAGGTTATTTTAATTCTGTCAAAATAAGATTAATTAGTTCAGACGTTTTACTTATAAACCTCACAAGGTTTCCAAACAAGGTGTTTCTGCCGTTTCACATGAAATGTTTCAGATTTTACAGCACATAGAGCAGATTTTACGTCCATTAGTTTGTCTTTTGTGTCTTAAGTACATGACAAGAAGAAAAAAATATTAACATTTGTTTTTAATAACTCACCACTCCAGAGTGGCTGGTGTCGAATGTGGTTTAGAGGCTCTGTTATTTTCTTTTTCTTCATCTGAAAAAAAGGCGACCAAAACAAATTAGTAGACGAAGACACACAAACACACATTTTTTCTCTCTCTCAAATATCACACTTTGGTTCAGATGTTTGAATGAACCCAGTTTGTTGAGCAGAAGTGGTTTTCCTGCTTACGTTCATCGTTGGACATGTTCCCCAGAGACGTGTGGCTCGAGTATCGCTTGTTCTCACTTTCGTTGAGGCACCGTTCAATCCAGCTCTCTGCAAAAACATACYAAGAAACAATTTTATTTTTATTTTACAAGAAAACAAAACAGAATGGTCAAACGGTGAGTCCTTTGGCTTTTGTGTTTCTGCTGTCAGTAAATCTCTTTTCAGCCCCATCCTGCAGGCTATATTTACACAAACAGCATCCATACAGGACATTTAAAATGTCKCTAATGTGACGGCGAGGAACCACAACAATCGATTGTATGGGCAGTGCTGCAGCCGTGGGTCTATTTGAGATGTTTTTCAGCAAGACGGCAGGAATCCAGCATTGTTACCCCACTACCACCACCACCCCACCCTTGTGTGTACGAGCGCACACACAAGCTTGAAAAAAAAAAAGCGCCTGTGAACATTACTGAAGCAGTCTGCTGGAATAGAGGCTATTGTCCCGTTTTAATTTCTACTTAGAAATAGCTCGACTGGTGTGCTTTCTGTGCAGCAAAATAAAACGCTTTCATGTWGAAACTCCCTGACGGAGTGAAAATCCATTCAAAACTCGAAAGAAAGGGGATTCAGGGGTCCATAAATGTCACCAAGAAGGAAACAACAKATTCACGATTCTTTTTTTGTTTGTTTGTTTTATTTTGGGGCTTTAAAACAATTTCAGAAGCTACATTTTACTCTTGACAAGAGTTTTATTCCTTAATTTGACCCAGTTAACTAAAATAATTCAACAGAATGAAGGAAAAGTGTGAAAACGTCCATCATAAGTTGATGTTTCTGTTATAAATCAGTATTTTACCAACTCTCCACTTGATATTTATTGTTTTCTAACRTTTTTTTTTCCCCACAGAAAGTGAAGTGAAGCAGTTTGTTGCCAGGACAGACTGTTGGCAGGACAACGTCTTGTTGGTCCATCCAATGAAAGCAACAGAAAAATCTAAGTTTTAAAAGTTTGAAGCRGAAGATTCTTCAATTTGATGTTTCGTCACAAAAACAGACCAAACATCAAATTTAACACAAAGAAGGAAAATGTAAAGTTTCTGCAAATAAGATATTTTTCCTCCTTTTTACAATTAATTTACTTTGTACAGTCTTGTCAACTTAATCCAACACCCTGCTGCATAAATAAAWGACAAATACTCCAAATACTGTGTGAATTTAAGTTTTAACATTTAATCAAACAATAGCAGCCRAGCCATTCTTATTTCTTGTTTGTTTTTCTCAAAAACACAAAGAGYGAAAAAAACAGAAGAACTTGGAAGCGAATCAGTGAGTTCGCTGAAGTGAAGCTAATTCTCCACACAGACTCAGACCTCAAGCTTCATTTGCCACAAGAACAGATAAGTTGGGGATAGAAATAATTGGATTAAATATGATCAGCCTCTGAGACGGATCTTTGGTCATTTACAAACACGTTCAGGACTCAACTGCYCTTTTCTACGAAAATATGCAAAGTTAGGGTGCGACAATCTTTTAAAAACCTGACAAACTGATAAATTAGTCTAAATATTTCAGTTTCTTCATCCGTTRGCTCATTTTTAAAGAACAGATTCTCAAAAGTGATGGTTTACTCTTCCAGTTTGGGGGAACAGGTGCACCCCGTGTTGTTGAAAAAAATCTGAACCTGCAGAACAAGTGTGTCTCATTAGACTTACCAGAAATGTGGGACAAATAAAAGCTTCTTCGTTAAAATCAAAAAAAAAAAAAAAAGAAGAAGAAGTATGGGGGAGCATCCAGAAAAGTCCAGAGGAAAGTTTGAGAGTTTAACAGGACTGACCTGTGGAATCCATATCCGGCTCCTCCAGCAGCCCGCAATGCATCCTCTTCCCATCAACGACGCTGCCTCCTCCAAGAAAATGGCTCGCTGCGCGTTTTTTCCCCCTCCTCCGTGGCGCTCCCCTCGTCTCGCTCTGCGTTCCCCGTGACCACTGCCCGTCACGGGAGAAGTTGAGGATCTGAGGTTCGCCCAGAGAGGGGTGGTGTTGGAGGACAAGAAGAGGGGGGGGG